ATGTATTTGTACAGAAAACATGATTGTATATGTAGCAATAAATAACCAATAATAGAATAAATATACGGTGCAAGAAAATAGAAAATTATAGAAATCGCGAAATCTAAGCGAAATGCAAGCGGGCCTTGTACTAATTCACAAACTATCCATAAAGTTCCGCGATCTAAATTATCGTACGTTTTGCATAAGTAATTATACTGTAAATATTCTAAAACGATCAGAAAGATTCTAATAAGAGCAAGCGAAAAATCGTCTTTGATTGGAACAAAGCTACAAAAATTTTACGCCATGTTTAGAAGACCGCTATTGTTTGTTTCATTACGTAATAAAAATAGATCGATTTAAAAAAAAAACGTAATAGGCTAACTAAAATTGTGGATGAAATGACGATCGAAAACTCACGGTCGCAGTCGGAAACTTGCGTTTCCAATTGAAATAAATCAGTGCTCGGAATTATTTGCACTATTGAGGTGATTTTCGGGAGTTACTTTCTTCCTCTTGCCTCTTCCGTCGAGCTAAGCAATCGACAGTCGCAGCGCTTAACCTCAGAACCGACAAATTTATGTAAAATCTGTGACACGCTTCTTAATTACTGTAAGGTTGTTATTGAAACTACGATTCTATCGTTGCAATTATAATAGTATAATTGTATTGATAGCATATAAAAATAAGACGCATAAAGGACTAGTTTTAATAAAAAACTTTTCAGAAATCATAGAATTTCTCACAGATCTTATGAAGTTAACGGTCCTGAGGCTGAGCGCAATAACTGTCAGTCGTGTGGCTCAAAAGATAAACGGGAGAATAACAATAATAGCTTTTCTAGTATGTACATGCAACAAATATGCAAATATGCGAAATTCTATGATCAAAATAAATTGATTTCTACGAATTTTCAGAAACAGATCCATCATTAAAAATTTTTTTTTCATGCATTTTCCTCACTTACCGAAGCAGTACGAACTCAGAGTCGGCCACGTTCTGCATACAAGTCTAAAACAAAAACATAGTTTTTTGATATGAAATGACAAAGAATAGACGCTCTTTACGAATAGTTATATAAAAAATGGGAAAGATTTTGCAACTGAATTTTCCTGTACTTATTATATTAGTTTGGAACAATATGTCACAAAAATTTTGAATCACATTTCGATCATTAACAAAAATATAACTTTTGATTAATAACAAAAACATACCTGCATAATTAACATGTGCAAAAGAACGGTGCCTACAATTGTGCCTTATACAACCATGTTTTTCAATATTTTTGATCGTAGGAAAGCGGGGCAAATGTTTATAAACAGTCAACGTATTTTCTTTTATACAACTATAACTTCATCCAAAAATTTCTAGATATTATAAAAATAATTAAAATTGTTCTTTTGAAATTTAGAACTTAAAAAAAATGGAAAAAAATATTTCTAAAATTTTGAAGTTTTATGTGAAAATTTCTTTAATAAATCAATGCGAAAAGCAAGTACGTACAAGTAAATTAAACTTCTTACGATCGTAGTTAGGATCATTCTAATGACTCTATACTGGGTTTCGATTATGAAGGAGTAAATACGGAAAGTGGATAAATACAGAAAATCTGTAAACTTACTTTCGAGCCGACCCTGCTTGGCCTGAACCGGATCTTCCGGTGCTGCATCAGCATCCACTGGAACCATGTCCTCTGTAACTATATCTTGATCCGTCAGATCCGTAACCAAAAATAATTTTCTTAATTTAGTTAATTAATTAATTATATTAATTAGTTAATTAGTTAAAACAATAAAGTATAGCCATTCTCAATTTTTGGAATTAATTGAACATAGAGAAATGTGAAGATACGAAAATAACGAGAAAAAATATGCGCTACGAGAATGTGTACATTTCTCCATTAAATAAATTTCATTAAAAATCAATACGATAATCACTTTTTAAATATCTAAGCGTTGCTCGCGATGGTCCCAACAGAACGATCACACGCGCAAAATATTGTAATCTGTCTCACGGAGTAAGATTGATTCCACGTTCCGATTGATCGGAAAAATTTCAAATATTTCACGATACGTTCACCGCCACGTTACACATTGTTATCGGAGTCTACGCGTACCTATGTGTGTGTTGTTCCGACCGAGTCAAGGTTGTGCGTCCTCCCGATTGTCGATTGGACTGCACGCCACGCCGTTACATTATTTGTTTTTTTTTTTATATAATATTTCTATTGTTATGATATTAACTTTTTGCGGACTAGCTACACTGGACAATATATATTGTATTAAAGCGCTACGACAGTAAAGGTGTATGTTTAATATTCTATTAATAAATACTATTTTAGAATAAATTTTTCAATACGCGCTTTCCGACAGAGCTATTTTCGTATGTCGTACAACTATTCCTCGGCGTGGTGATGAATTATTAAAATCAAATAATAGAAATTTCACGCGTTCTATTTAATAATTCTAATACAATTGTAACATGATTAAATACACATATCACAAAAATGTACAAAAGTTATTAAGAATTGCTCTAACGAAGAGGAAACGAATTATCAGAGATATTTTAAATGATATTTTCAATCGGGAACGAAAATTGATCTGTACCAGAGAAAGATATGAAATTTAATATACGAAGTATTTTGTCGAAAATTTCATTTTTCGCAGTTCACAAATTAATGGCCGGTGATTTAGTTCGAGAAAATCCGATAGCTTAAAAGTATCGGTTAATCGTTAAAAACAGCATGTGCAACAATGGATGCAAATTCCTATTTCCAAAATCGGTTTTGTTGAAAATAGAACTCCCAATACGAGTCAAATTTATTCTATAATTTTTACTTATCTTTTTATGTAAAATAATTCTCTTTTGGTCTATATTACATACATTGAAATGCCTCGTATGCCGAAAGGGTCAACATGAAATCATTCTAGAATTTTTGTCAATCGATCGACTTGATTCTTTCTTATGAATCAAATTTTCATTGATTTTTCCGATATCAATTATTTCGTTTCCATCCTCATCGCTCTTCGATGTCGACAAAGCTTATACTTAATTGGCACAAGATTCGATTAAATTAATCCGATTTAAAGGGGACGTGAGGTGCGGGACGTGATTACAAAGTCAAGCGAATAACTATAACTCCTCCTCGTCGTCGGAAAACTCGTCTATGGTATTAATTGGCTCCTTTTATCACGACTTTACGCTAATCGGGAGAAAGAGAGAACGTAGCCGTTATCGGTGTCGTCGGAATGACGCGCGTAAATTGGCATTGATTAAAGCTCCGAATACAGTCGGCTAATTTCGATGATAAAGGGCGTTAAATAACGGGGTATTCATAAGTACCCCGCTGATGGACTTTAATTAACGGGCATTTCGGCGTACGTGCAAGAGAGAGTATGTGAGAGGGAGAAAGAGAGACCGGCTAATTAATCGCCTGGTATAATTGAATTCACGTTTTATTTGGTGTCACGCTTTCGACGGATTTTATCAGCGGTATAACAACAAAACTCGTTGTATGACACAAGATCGATACGGTGTCGACGCCAAACTGTGTAGTATTTTTTATAAATAGTAATACGAACGAACGTCAAAATCGGTTCGTTGACGGGGACGAATCGAGACACGAGAGACACAGAGAAAAAGAGAGAAGGAAAGAAGAATCTCGTTACGATATTGCGTCGTCGCTTTGCCGTGTCATTTCTCACCCCCTTACCTCGCGCCGCCCTCATGGCGCGGCGAAGAAATCACCCCTTCGAAATGAGACGAAGAAACAAAAGGAAGAGAGAGAGAGAGAGAGAGAGAGAGAGAGAGAGAGAGAGAGAGAGAATTAACCAATAAGTTGGGCCGATTTCAAAATGAACTAATTAATAAAATTGGAGAGTCCTACTCCGTCGAACACCCCGTATATCAACTGTCAACGATGACTAATCGAGGCGTCACGTGCGTCACTCCGTTTATCTATAGAACGCGAGAAGTGCGATCGACTTCGAACGCCCCGATCGACTTCGCCCCCATTTTGCGGTCATTTATCGATCCACAGCGGATGTGTTAGCCGGCGTTTACGGTTTACCGTTAAACTCGACTGACCTTTCCCTCGTCCAAGCGGTCTATCGACTGTTAAATTCCTTCTGCGCGCTATAAATAATTAATTCGTGCTTCAAAGGACCCACCTCGTCTCTCCTTCTCTCTTCTCTTCCTCGAGATCTCACCATCGTCTTCGAGATTGTCTGAAATAACCGGGGAAACCGGAGTTGTAGACTCGTATTAATAATTGTTGCTTGAGACTTGCTTCAGGTGAGCTACTACAGATTTGATATTAGAGTTAAATGTGAGTTATTCGGCCGACTCACTATTACAAATGTATAATGTGTGATTCAAATCAAAATCTCCATGCAACTCTAAATTCAGAACTGAGTGTCTCACGTGCGAAAAGTTTCAAGGAACGACTATTAATACGGACCATTGTGAATGAAGAAAAAAGCGATTCTCACTTTTTCAAACTAACCACCCTTTTCAAGATAATTTTACACGGGAAAGAAAAACATTCCAACGAGAGAAGGGAATTCCATTAAAGCGAATAAATTTGGTTATCGGTGTCGCATTTGCGCGGCAACCACGCGCACGGTCGCGAATTTCATCGGCAGGTTTTCGACGAAATCACCTATTTTTAATTAAGCCCTCCCCGATATAATCTTCGTCGAAGTGATGCCCAATTTCGCATCGACGCAGCTGAATTTTCACCCCGTTGAATTTTCACCGACACGAAAATCGGGCTTGCCGTGTCGACGCGTCGCGACGCACGTTGTCACGGCGTGTCACACAGCGGCGTTCCCGATGTTTTGTCAGCTCGTCACGCCGGTGAGAAAAATCTTTCGTCAAATATCATTTCCGCGACGCCGGCACGCGAGTACGACACGGTGATCGTGTCGATTTTGAAAGATCAATAGGGCACCGCGCTTCGCTCCGCGATTAATCTCTAGATTTTTGTAACGTTCATGTTTTTGTATTTGTGTTTGCAGGCCTCAAGTACCTTCACTCGGCCCGAATTCTCCACAGGGACATCAAGCCGGGGAACCTCCTAGTGAATAGCAATTGTATATTAAAAGTGAGTCCTAATTACATCTAAATATCTCGAAATCCTTTCAAATCGTTCTGAATATTTCGTGTCGCGTAAAAAAGAAAGTTGACACACCTTCTTGACGGGTTTTCCACCCGAAGCAATCGCATCCTAAAGCTCGATCGTTTGAAACGCGACCACCTCCGTGTCAAGTGCACACCTAGCGTTTTCTCTCCTCAGATCTGTGATTTCGGATTGGCCCGGGTGGCGGAGCCCGATCAGAACGTGCACATGACCCAGGAAGTGGTGACACAGTATTATCGCGCGCCGGAAATCCTGATGGGCGCGCGGCACTACACCGCCGCAGTGGACGTGTGGAGCGTCGGTTGCATTTTCGGCGAGCTCCTTCGCCGGCGGATCCTCTTCCAGGCTCAGAGTCCCGTGCAACAGGTGAGAATCCCTCCCAAAAATATACCCCTTTTCGCAATTTCGCCGACTTGAGATCACGAAACGATCGCAAAAGCCGTTGACTTAGTTATTAAAGAAAGGACAAGAAAATACGCGCTGTTTCTCGGCCTGATTGCAGCTCGAGCTGATCACGGAACTACTGGGTTCGCCCACTCTCGAGGAGATGAGGTACGCGTGTGAGGGCGCGAAAACGCACATGCTAAGAAGGGCGCAGAAACCACCCTCGCTCACGTCACTGTACAATCTCAGCACCCAGGCGACGCACGAGGCCGTCCATTTGCTCTGCCAGATGCTAGTCTTCGATCCCGTAAGTTAGCCTCCTCCTCCGAGTCCACTCATTCACCGGAACTCGTAATTTAATTCGATGCGAATATCGCGTTAATTCATTCGTTCGCGAAAAGAACTATGAATCATAATTGTGAGAAACAACTCTTGTGTATGTGTGCATAAATATATATGTACGTACATGTGTGATATATGTATCGTGCAGGACAAGAGGATCACCGTGGTGGACGCCCTGGCGCATCCTTATCTCGACGAGGGCCGACTGCGGTATCATTCGTGCATGTGTACGTGTTGTTACACGACAAGCGCCGGGATGCGGCAATATAGGGTGGACTTCGAGCCCTCGGCAACTCATCCCTTCGACGATCTCTGGGAGCGAAAGCTCACGAGCGTGCAGCAGGTGAAAGGTGAGAGATCACCCCTGGGATTTCGCCGGGAATCTGACGCGAACGAATGTCGCGACTGCACCATATTTCGCGTAGCGTACACGTTTCACTCCGCGCAAGATTCATTAACAACGAAGGAGAGAATGGAAAGGGAGTAAAAATTTATGATTTTAATTATTTCCGGCTCTCCACTTCTCTCTCGGATGATAAATAACATTTTTACCACCGAGTGTGTTTTTACACGGAAAGCCCGATTGATATTTGGAATGTCGCACTTAAACGTTACAAATTGCAAGGTAAATCTCGATATGTCGTCCGTAGAATGTCTCGCGTATCGAGAATAGTGACGTGCAGTAAGTATCTCAGGCACGTGGCTGGCGCTATTCGAGAACAATAACTGCGATAAACGCTCTCGCGTGTGTGCGCGCGCGTCGCGATAAATCATAGTTTATCTCAGCAGTCTGGCCGGAGAACCGCGAAGTTCTCTCGTGTGTCTTTCCTCGCAGTAATCGTGAATTGCGCGAGTGACATTAAAAAATACCCTGCTTTCGTCAGAAATCTCGTAACTCATTTTTGCCGGACGCAAAATTAAAATTTCGAGGCGGTGAAATGCCTTCGCGTACGACTAAAGAGCGTAATTTGCGAATAAATTTAATTATCCGCAATGGGGAACGTGGACAGAAAAATATGCTTCGCGTAAGAATGCGGAGAAAATGTGCAAAATTCGCAGAGCCGCATAAAAATCCGGAAACAGATATCTCTATTCTTGTCCGGAGTGGTATTTTGCTCTCCAAGTATTTTCGAGGTCACCTCTCTTTGATATTAATAATGATCGTAACGGTTACGGAGCGTTAATGAAATGTTAAAAGTAACGGTCACGCGCAACGTAGACGCGAGAGACGAGAACCATTTAGTGCCGCATTTAACGTGCTGACCGCGTGATGAGAATATGAACCATCGCGTTCATTGTTTATGGTGTCGTTAACTCGACCACGGGAAACTGTATCGTGCGCCGTCATCAGCATCTCGCCGGTTTCCCTTCCCTCGCCCTATCGCGCGCTCTCTCTCTCTCTCTCTCTCATCTAACGATCCGCGTCGTTGTGTTTCTGTTTCAGAGGAGATGCACAAATTTATAGCGGAGCAACTGAACCCGTCGCGAGTGCCGCTCTGCATAAATCCGCAATCTGCAGCGTTCAAGAGCTTCGCGAGGTAAGCCGCATGTGCCGGATCTATGAATCCTCCTTTTGATTCGATCGATATATATACGCGATGTCCCAAAACTACCGGAGATACCCGAGGTCGAAAATTGTAACAAGCAAGCCCGTTTGTTCAAGTTTCAAAGCACCAATCGTCCCCGAGAATTGTCGAACGAGAATCTAGAAATTGTTTTCGGAAATCAAGCTGTGGGTGGTGCGAACCGATGACGAAATCTTGTTTCTCTTAGTTTTGAACAGACCTTAGTTTAAACAAAGTGACGATTCTCATGTTGGTCGCGAACTTATTTGAGAAGAGATTGGCGAAGAGAAAAATGCAATTCTACTTTATTGACCCTGATTGAAGAATTTCCAGCTATAAGAAGCGGCGATAGTTCTGGGACATCCGGTACAGCACGACCTGACCCACGAAAGTCCCGAGTCGCATACAGAAAAGTCACCAGAGCCAATCGACAAGGAGCAAAACCCGACAAAACTCTAAAAAGAGTAATATATTCTCCCTCCCTTCGTTTCCTCTCGAGATTAATCGATTATTCTTCCTTCTCCGAATCCGTGCATCTTCCGAGCCGTAATCCTGAATCCCCGGTCAAAAGACAGACAGAACAATAATCTCCAAGAGAGTTCATAGAGAGGCGCACAGTGTTTTTAAGCGGTCGAGTAGAGCAAGCGGGATATATCGGGTGTTCGGAGAGTAGCGCTGACTTTGAGCCAGCTGAGTCTTTCGACGCGTAACGCAGACTTCTAAATTGAAATTAAGTGGAAAGAAAGAAAGAAGGGCCTTTTGTCCTGGCGATTCTCTTGCTGATGTTCTCCAAGAACGCGATTTATCTCTTGGCATTGTTTCTCAGAGAAGAAAGTAAAACTTAAAGATATAGATATGCACGAGAATGCATTTTTCTTTTGCCACGCAACCCTGTCGGCCCACTGTGACAATCGCTGTGTGCGATCTCTCGATACACGTTGTTTACCGGTATGCACTACTCAACAAGATTAAATTTTTTTCTTTTTTTTTGTAGAAGTGTACGATGGCCGATTTCAAACCCGTATTATTCTCTCACTTAAAACTGACAAACGAAAGATGTCGGCACGTCTAGATTTTTTTGCCGCGCAAACCAGTCTTACAAGTAGCAGAAATTATGAATGCATTTCACGATGATTAAAGTCTGAAATACGCGAGATGTGCGACTCCGTTGTGTCGTAAATATATAAACGTTGCGAATAAGAAGCTGTTGAAGTTATCGATGTGTCCCAAAGTGTTCCGATGAAACGATCGTTGTCCCGAGCACGCGCGTACGTCGTCGTTACGACTTCTACAAAACGCGTGTGTTGTTGAGTAGTGCGTCACTTAAAAGTGATAATGTTGGATGTGTAACAATTGTTCGTCTTACTTACTGCCGTCAAGTTAGAGCAAGCCGATCGCCGAACCAGCGGCCTGTGCCGCGTATACATACACGTTACTACTTCTACTACTACTACCACTACCACTACCGACTCAGCTATCTACCACTGTCAGCTACTATCGACTACTACCGCTATCGTCTACTACTACTACTACTACCGCTACTACCACTACTACTACTACTACCAATCGTGTTACGCCTCCTCCTGAACGAACCGAACGAACCGAGAGTCAGCTATAGTCGGCGCGACCTCGCTCGCAGAGGTACATGATCCAGCCTATCTTTTATAATACCAAATATTGCGTTTTTTGTGTTTATATACTGTCTCGTTTTGGGTGCTCTTCTCTGTTTAACCTCACGGTGTGCCGTGTGCCTCTTGCGTTCTGTTGAACGCTGCTTGCGCTTCACGTACAGAGTACTCGCGGTCTCGCCGACCTTATGATCCTCTCGAACGCGTACAAATAGATGCGAATCGGCGGACGATAACGCGAGAGATGCGAAATTGAGTTGAGAATCGAATCAAGGGGGAATTTATCGGTTTATTTGTACGTGTTCAAAAGTTACGAGGAGTGGACGGCGATACCGAGGCACTCTCTGTATAATGTCGCGCCCACGAGTCGGTTGTGTCGTATTTCGTGCCAAGGCGAGTCGATCGCGCGTCGAACGGGGTGACACTTGCTCAATATCGGATTTAATTATTAGCAAATCATGGAATAGAGGAAAATCGTAGCGCGAGCTGTCGATTATTTTCGCGTCTGATTCCTCGAAGATCCGTGAAACGAGAGAAACGTGAAATCGGACACGAACGAGGGATAGCTTTACGAAGAATAAATATCACTGCAAAGCGCGGAAAAGGAAATTCTGCCTCAAGAAGAATTCAATTCGTTCATTCGGCCGATTTTCGCGCGGATTTAGGCGACGCGAATTCCTTGAGTGACGACGACAGATTAGCGTTAGCGGCGCTAATTAGCGGCAGTTTCGCGTACGCGCAATTAACGGGCTCCTTAAACATCCGCGCGACGATATATACCCGGTGCTCGGCAGAATACCGTTCCTTTGTCCGACGAATGCTTCCGTTCTCTCTCTTGCTCTCCCGGGCGAGAGCGTCGCTGAAGCGAGAAATCGCATCGCTGTCCTACTTTCGCGGACTCTAAGGCGAGTCCGAGGAAGTCTAATTAAAAAGAGAGGACAATTACGATCTTCGAGGAACGTCCAACGATTACGATTCATCCCTTCGTCCCTCACTCTTCGCTTTTTAGAATATAACCATAAAAGTTTGTTGTGCACTGCGTAACATATGTGGCTATAACAGATGTGGCAAATGGCGAATAATAATTGTGTGTTATTTTAGTTCTGAAGTTCCGGCTTTAAAAGCATCCAAGTACTCGAAGTGATACAAATTATTTGTAAGTAACAATAATATAGTAGAGAATATTAATTTTAAAGAAAGTATAATGTGTGAGAATTATGTTTAGATATAAAAGATATAAAAGATGTAGATGAATTCGTCTAAATATATGATTTGGGGAAACAATTCTTTTCGGCTCTTAGAGAAACGAGTTTAACAAGAATAAATGGAAATACAACGATTCGTCTTGCTGTCACCCCGATTTCGCGCGACGCAATTCGCCGTCTACGTCCGCGTGATTTTGAGGACACGTTGCTCGCGCGTAAATAACGTTATTAAAGAACTATCATTAACGGAGAAAACGCCCGAACCGAACGCATTGTTTTACCAGCATTATAAGCGTAAAAGAAGGCCTGATCCACCATGCAGCCTTCAGTTGAAAGAAACTTCGTCGATGAGAAAGAGGAGCATCGCGACGCGCCAAAAAAAAATAAATTAATAGAAAATGAAATAAAATGCAAACTCTCTTTCGCGAAAATCTGCATAGATCGAGAAAAAGATTTCCACCCTCCCTCGACCACCCCACTCTCCCTCTAGATCCTTGTTATAGTTCGCACAGCCCGATGATCCGTATGAAACATTTCCCATAGATGAGAGACATCCACCCGCCCGCCTAAGATAAATCGATGTCGAATCGCCAGGATTCGGAATAAAATCCTATCGAGATCCTGACACCGTGGATCCTGTAGTTAGGTTGAACTTCTCATTCAGTTAGGTTGAACTTTTCATACAAGTATAATTTTAGCTGTGGATCCCGACGCGATCCTTCTCCGATCGGAGGCGCAATGACTGTAATATCGAGCGCGATTTCAGTCTTCTTATATAAATCAGACTTTAGTTGAATTTCATTTACAAACGACTAATTGAATTTGGAGAATTGAATGAGATTCAGATCGAATTTCAACGAATTATTAAATTTGAATTCGAGAGTTTTCCTCTAGCAATTAAAAAGTTTCCGAGCTGGTGAGTTCTTCGAATATGTATATCAAGTATCAGCTTGGTTTCTGTTGATCCAAGTATGTCTCTCTCTCAGTCGGAACCCCCTGTACATATTTGTTGTCACTAATAATGAGGTTTCCTGGCAAATTCCGAGGTCTTATTTAACTTTGCCGAAGTTAGCGTGACGTAGCTTATATCGGTTCTCGTTTATTTAATAAAGTTCGAAGCCCGGTCTCCCTCTTCTCTTGAACGGAGTTACCCAATGAAATAATGTTCTTCGTAGTGCATTAGCAGATACTAATTCAACGATACTTTTCGAGATCTGTGGCTTGTATAAAAGTAAGTAATGTCGAGGAAATTAATTTTTTTTAACGGAATATTATCTTCAGATCCTGCTTACAAAGCGCGTCAAACTTATTCATAAATTTCTTTCTTCAAAGTAACAATTGATTACGCACAACATATCGTGAATGTTTCTTCGCTCGTTCTCAGCAAGCGTGCGAGATATTACTGTCATTTCGCAAGTCCGAATCACGACGAATCCCTGTCAGCGAAAATTTCACAATTCGTCGGATTTGCTTTGCCAAGCAAACGTCAATTAGCATGATGACTTAACTCGCTATCCAAACAAATCGAGGTACAAACGCAACAAATTTGTGTGCGAAGCATGATTTCCATATCGTAGGAGAATATTGAAGTTCTTTAGTTCAAATATTTGCAGTTTTAATTAACGAATCCATTTTTAAGTTCATCAAAAGAATTTATCTTGACATGATACGCTGTGTTTTTGGGACACACTATAGTTCTCTCCAAGATTTAAAAAACAGAAAATCCGTCAGACATAAAGTAGAAAATATGTAATCAACAGGTTATAAATTTAAAAGCTGAGAAAAATTGTCTCGAGGGCGTTAAAACATCGCATCCGACGCGACGAGAAGGGACAAAGCGGAGTCACTTTTCTTACGTCGCCTTTAAGTAAACCATCCCTCGCGCGAGCGGAGGAACAATTTCGCGCGGAAAATAATAATACGGACAAAAGGGAGAAATGTCATACGCTTTTTCCCGCTGTGCGCAATTTTATCTCGCTCTTATTGAGGACTTGGCAAGGCAAAGCCGCGATGTTTATATATAGTGACGGTCGAAATTTTACGATGTTAATTAGTATGACAAATATCAAGTCAAAACCTGTAAAAATTAAAAAAAGACATCACGAAAATCGCAGAGTGAAACAAAATATCGAAGTTTGTATATTAAGTTTTGTGTATCGAAAAAACGTTTTGAAAAATTCTGAATATTGTAAATTTTTTACGGTCACCGTATACATCAAGCTCGCTCTCGTAATAGGGATAAATGTCGGAAAGGAAGGAACGTGTAGGCGGTTACGCGCATTTGGAAATAGAGGCAGGAGAAGAAAAATCAGAGTTGGGCAAGGTATAGTCGGATTAATGATCATCGAAAGATCAGATTGGCGATAAGCGATTATGATTGTCGAGTGATTAGTAATCAGACAATTAATAAACGGTAGAAATAATCGAGGTCAATGTGATCATTAGTCACGATAAAATTGTCGATCATTAGTCAGGAAAAGGCTACATTTTTTATTATGTGTGATTGATCCTCCAAATTAACATATTACTTCAGTGCAACTCGATATATATATATGTCTATATATATCTCGATATATATATATATATATATATATATAACAATGTAACGTTCCATTTTACGATAAGTAATTAACGGATATAAATCAACAGTGACAGATTTGCGAATGTAATTTATGATTAATGATCGACTATAGCTACGATCGTTTAATTAATGTTTACTTTAATCAAGATTACTTGATTAATCGGTCATGAAAATGATTGCGAAAATAATCCATTATTGCCCAACGCTGGAAAAAGCGGGAAAACAAGGGGGATAAGTATACAATACAAAGAGAAAAAAGCAGATTAATTGGAAATATAAATATGTTTAAGGAGGGGGGGGGAGGAGAGAGAGAGAGAGAGAAAAAAGTTAAAAGAGACGATCGGCTGTCACGCATGCTGACAGCTGCATGGAAATCAGACGAACGATTTTGTTACTTTTCCCAAGAGTCGATCCACCGTCGACTCTTTCGATCGATCGTCACGAGCGAATAGCGCGTGCCTTGATAACGATAATTGGCGATTATCCATATCGGTTGGCAGTTATGTTAAATAGTAAGATATCGTATTTGAATATGTTGATGGAAAGTGACCTATAATCGAAAATAACCGAGATGAGAACTTCGGCTTGATGTATCCTCAGGCATGTGAAAACATGTATAAATTCTATGTTAAAATTTCCACTCACATTAAAAAAAAAACACCGCGCCATTACCGCTCGTTGACGGTTTTCAATTTTTACGATTAGTCGATCGAGGATACGTGAAACGCGAAATGGTAGGTTGTAAATTATTTCCATGGCATTTCGCGTTTCGTGTTTTTCGATCATTAGAGAACGCGAATGGTCGAGCAAACGCGCTGCTCTTTCGAATATTTATCTTAAAATCAAAGTCGTTCCACATTAATTTCAATATAACATTCTTAATTGCGCGTATAATTAATTAAAATACATGGAAATATGTTAAAAGTTTAACATTTCAAGTAATATTGCATTTATAAAATAACATAAAGGTTCTTTGCGATTTTCTGTCGTTTAATGGAGACCGCATTATGCGATTGTAAGTAAATTTAATCTGTTTTCTTTGGATACATTCGGAAATTCAAAACTCTACATTCTGCATTTTAGATTCTAAACTTTACATTCCAGAAAACAGTTAGCCCGACGACTCGCAAGTAGTTGTACTTCATACCCGGCAATCGATCGCTCCAACCCTTCGATAGTAATCGAGTCATCCTCGATTAAAACGATTAAACTAAAAAGGTCAAACATAAAATTAGAAGAAAATAATTTCGTCGGAATCGCCTCAGTTAAAGTAAAATGTATATAAATAACACGATGGGTATAATTACTGTATATTTATGTCACGCGTCTGTCGCGTTCGATAAATCGCGCAGTTTTCACCCTCCCATCGGTCGGGGTTGGTCAGCGGTTACCAACGAAGGGTTGCATTCCTCTTTCCCCCGCCAAGCTAGTCAGCCTTTCCTTTTGCCCCTTGCCGCCACTCTAATGACTTGTTCGTACGACTTGCAGCTCCACGGTGGCTCACCCCTCGGAATTGCCACCCTCTCCACACCAGTGGGAATAAAAAAAGTCTTCCCCGTTCCCGTCCCCGAGACCCAAGGACCCGAGGGTGACTTCGCGTCGCACTCCAAGGAGAAGAAGAATCTTCGCCGACCGGAAGATAGTAATTCGCCGGAAGAGAAAGGAAGCGGAGGAGAAGGAGGAGGGGAAAAGGAAGACTAGGGGACTGGAAGCTGCGGAGAGAAAAGAGCCAAGAGAGACAATAGACTGCCGAGCACTGTAGCCTCAATTTTTCGACTAGCTGATACATCTACATACACAGGATGTCGTGAGAAATGCGCGGAAAATGGCGAGGACGTTCGACTCGAGGAATTTGGGAGCTTTCGCGATTTTTCTCGGTGACGTATCACTCCGGGAATTGGGAGATTATTCAGCTTCTTCGTAACGGTGAACTTCGCGAAGAATCTTGAAGTGTTTCCAATTTTTCCGTGTAAATATATTACCTCTCGAGATAACGGGAGACTTTTCTTATTCGCTTTCAAGAAGACGCGCTTCTAAATAAGTTTCAAAATTTACCTAAATTGCAAGATAGGAGATTCGATTTCTCACAGATTCGGAATATTTCACACTCGGATTACCAAAATTTCATTTTATTCTCAAAATATCGCGAATTAGATTTTCTCACGAGATCCCAGCGGTACTCACGAGATACAAAGTGAGCTCCGATTCTAAGAAGTCTTCTAAGGATTAATATCGAGAATTAATAAATATGAAAATAAGTGATTTAAGATTAAGTAATAATGTTTCCACATCCGTCAAACGTTCTTCGGGAAGATATCGATTTCCAAGTTCCGAATTTGGATTCCACAATGACACTTAATTCACGCCATACTTCTTCCATGTATTTCATCGTGCATCCTGTGTTATGTTGTGTGTATATATAGCAATATATATTATACATATTATACGTTGTATACATACAACCGGAGGGGGGGAAGAAAAAAGAAAGAGAGATGTGAGAGACACATAGACGAACACACACCTACACAACACACATTAGCCAATTTAAAACACGAAGTAGCTAATTAATTCCGAAAGCGTTGGGCACAGAAAGGGGAGGGATCGGGAGGGATTCCCGAGGGCGGAATCGTGGGGTACCGTGAAAGAAGGAGAGAGAAAGACAGCAGGAGGGGAGAGTAATAGTTAAAAATAGCGAATAGTAAAACGCGTCGAAAAGACGGGCCAGTCCTTTTTTCTCGTTTTTTTCCTTTTTTTGCTCTGTTAGATTTTACACACGTGTATGTATAGGTCGCGCGAGAATAACTGGCATTTAAATAATCGAATACGTGCGCGCTTGCGCGGGAGGAAAGTGCCGGAGGGAATGTCCTCATCCTGATCGAGGATCTTCGACGACGAGGCGCGCTTGAGGATATCCCGAGGAGGATCGATATCGCGGCAAAGAGATCGCTCGGAATCGACAAGATGTCTCTCGAAAATGCCGCCTCGTGAATGAAACCGTCCTTGCAAGGATTTCTCTCGAGGATGTTGCGTGATGATAAGGTTATCGTTTCGAATCGAACGGCACTAGGACAGCTTATTGCTCGAAGATGCTTCGAGCAGCGGGAAGTTAGCACTGAATTGATAGGATATCTCTCGAGACTGTCGCTGAAAATAGTGTCGTCCTCGAAAGGATATCCCTCGAGGATGTCGTAATGACGAGATTGCTTTGAACCGAGCGGTCCTCGACAGGGTATTACTCGAGGACACCTCGAAGAGCGAGAAAATAGCTTAAAATCTGATCGTCCTCGATAAGGTATCTCGTGAGGATGTAGCTCGAGAAAATTAATCCTCGGCAGGGATTTTATTCGGAAAAACCTCGAGGACCAAACGGAGCACTCGCGAAGGCCGCTTCGAATTAAATCGAGTCGTTCTGGAGTCGCTCGAGGATATTTCGAGCGGCACGAATCCACTACATCCCCAAAAGATGAAGTATCGTCCGAGGACATGTTGTATTCAATCACGACATTTATCGCGGATCTCTCGACAGATCGGCGATAGCTCGGCCATGAAGAGGAATCGAAAGGAAGCGGAAGAAGGAAGAGGAGATCGACGAACCGAACACGACGCTCGTCATCACATCGATCCTTCTTAAGAGAAGACTGGGACAACCGTGAAGAAACTACAAAGAAAGGACTAAACGCGGACGGCGAGTCGTATATAATGGATAGCGAGATCGCGACTCACGGCACTTTTCCTCCCTGATGTCGGCACGACGGGTAAAACGAAGCATTTAATTCCACGAGCGACGAGCGTTCGCCGGGAATAAAGACTCGTAAAGTCTCTCCGATTAAGGTGTCTTTCCTTGGACGGTAGGATGGAAGACAGAGAAGAGACGGAGGGAGAGATAGAGAGACGGAAATTCGAACGGTTGCGCGCGCGCGACGAGCGAAAATAGAGGGCGGGATCGAGGAATGTCGAGAAAAACGAGATGATCGTGGCGACGAGTCAAGGAAATGCGAAAATCGTAGATTCACGTAAAGAAGGCATGTTATTCCACAGCGGACAATGTAGGATACATTGCGAAGCCCTCGATTGTCTGTCGCGTTACGCACTATCCCGAAAATTTTACACTCGGGAGGAAGAACTCGCGTCTACGAACGCGCCGGTGAATTCCGGAAGAGAAAAGAACGAGTCTGTCTTTCGAAACGGCTCGGAATGGATGATTCGACGTCGCTCGACCGACTGGAAGTCGGTTAAGAGCAAAGAAACCAGTTCCAGATTAACGAATTCGAGCAGATTGAAGGATACGACCAGGGAATTCTCGAGGGCTCGTCGACGAAAATTCGTTAAAGTAGCGGGAGAATGAAATCGCGTCGTTTCTCGACGATCGATTTTCCACGACTCGTTGCCACGATAGGGCAGGACGATGGGAATTCTCCTTCGCGTTCTGCTTCCTTCGTTTCTTTCGCACGGATTTCTTCCCGACACGTCGCGCCGCGCGTCGTACGTTCGCTCCTTCTCGTCGCTCGAATGAGCCTCGAACGATGAGAATCAGATTTGGATCTCAGGCTAGGATGTAGGAGAAGCTGGTGTGAGGAAGTCCTACGACGACGTCGCCAGTGTCCCGCAGGACTCTCGCGATCCCGTCGCGCAGGAGATGAGGGGAGGAGTATAAGCGCGAGTTCTATGCGCGAGTATCGACGTCCGACGACTTTCCGTCGCAGGCCGATCTCGAAAATCCCCGTGTCGGTGGGAAAATGCGCGATTTTCGTCGCGTCTCCGTTCCTCAAATACGACGACGATGACGACTGCGACGAAGACAAAGACGAAGACGAAGACGATTTTCCGTGCGAGCGCGAGTCTCCCTCGCGTGCAGGATCGCGATTTATTATTCCAATAAACACACTGCCGACGTATCGTGCGAGCGCGACGGTATCGATACGAGAGAGCAAGAGAGAATGAGAAACAGAATGTATGTGTGCTTAGTCTGTATGTTGTGTGTGGATGTGCGAAGTGAGAGAGAGATAATGAAATGTATAAAGAAATCTAGTAGCGGTATTCTCTATTGTATTGGTGATATTTGGCCGATATCTATTGAAAAATTAAACGATTAAAAAGAATGGAGTGATTGTAGCGAGCTGATGCGATACTACGCATTCCGATTATCTTAGACGTATTGAATCGCGCCAACTTGATGCTGTAGTTACCGCAAATATTTTTCAATAATTTAGGTTATCGGCAACAAATATGCCGCATACAAGATACCAAGTTTGAGACCGACGTAATTTTCTTAGTTCAGTCGAGGAGCTTACTTCCAAGCTGTCTTAAATCTATATTTCTAAATGGACATAATGTTGCAAAGTTGCGAAAAGCTCACGATAAACTCGTAAGATCGCAACTTGCATTCGTTAGAAACAAAATTTAAGATTGCTAGAAATGGCTTTTCAGTTTGTCACGTTCACGTCTTGTCAGGAACGAATCGTCCCGTTCTCGTAGAAATCGAGAAAGAAATGAACATGGAACGAATTGTATCGTGATGATTCGAACTTGGACTATTACGCTCGGGCTCATTATGCAATGAGAAGAAGCTACAACGGAGGATCGAGACGGGAGGAAGCAATGGATCGAAGTCGTTTTTCGCGTAAATAAGTATCTACGATTATTTTCGAACGCGTCTTGGTAAAGGAAGACCGGAGATGTATAGTAAGAGCGGAAGGACGCACGGTACACGTAATTACTGAGTTCTGAGTGTGATTTTAGATTAAGGGATTTTTAGCTAGATCGCCAGTAGTAGTTCACGGCAGTGTTGGGCGAAATGTATTCGTGAGTGACGAATAAAGATTTTGAACGCGTTGGTAAATGTATCCATATACGTAAAATATATAAAGAGTAACAACCGCCGATATTTCCCGATAGTGTGAGAATGTGCGCATCAATATAAATGTACTAATATACATCAAGTATTACGCTAATACGTACAAGTTTTCAAGCATTGAATTTGACGTAGATGGAAGAGAAGTCAATCGATCGAAACTAAATAAGCTACCGCTATACAACTGCATTTAAACGCACTCGAAAACTATGCGCAAACGTATGTTCGAAATCGCGCATTATTCGGGAATACACTTCGTCCAACACTGTTTCACGACGATACCTTACCTAGGACAAAGCAGTGAAACATGAAGTAGTAGATAGTAGCGATTTAGTGCGAGACACGCCCGCCCACAATTCGTTTTGGTTCTCTGTCGCTGACCGGCAGAAGGAAAACGCATGTGTTCTCTTTTTTACACAGTGATTCGCATCAGACAACAGATCGGATTAAAAAAAGCGAAGAGGAAGAATATGAGAGATCGCGCGGACTTACCTTGTCGCAACTAATTAAGTAGCCATTAATTAAGCGTGTGGTCCACAGAGGAGAATGCGTTCTAAGAATGCGAATCGCCGAGAAAGAAAAGCTCTACTCATGGAAACGTTAATCCTTTATTTCGCTTATCTTCACGTGACAGTATTTCTCGTCGTAAATTTTCCTCTGTTTCGTGCTTCTTTCGCCCAGAGACTCGCGAGAGATTTTAACAATTTTATGCTCCATATGTACTCTCTAGAGTTCTCAATATTAAAAAGTTTAATTACAAAAAACGGAGAAGGGTACACGATCGATAAATGTAGAAAGATATTTTAGTGAAACGGAGTATATTTTACCATAAATTTGATAAATATTAGACATGCGAAATAAAGGAATAGCGGGTCACAGCAGTCAGGCATCGAGAATCGACGATATCTTAAGAATTCAAAGAACGCGATTGAGTTTAATCTGCGACAACGTTGCCGGACCGATTGAAATGATCCTACTTGTTTAATGTTGAATGCTACACTGGATTCAAATGTGAGTCCCACCAGGTCTGAATTCCTTGGCCGTCGATCGTATACAGAGTCAGATTGCTTAAACACATTGCCAAGTGTGCGAGTTATACTCAATTAGTAATAATGCTAATTATCGTATTAATACTATTACTAATCGTAATAGTAATAATACTTACTGAATACTTAGTAAAATGATTCCTAATTGAATCAGTAAAGCCGTCGCCCACAAACGTGTAATGGGGTCCCTGCGAAAACTCACGCATCATTCAAGTATGAGTTACGTGGCACTCAACGTATCAATATGCGAGACGTGTGAATCCGAGGATTTCAACGAAACGAAAGATCGAGCCGCAGTCTTCGATCCCTTCTCAATTCTTGCGTTTGTATCATATAAGTATATCCGCCGCACGTACGCGCGCAATTCGATACATGTCGCTGTGAACCGATAGCGACGATGGATATACGATTATCACTGCACTTATTCGTCTTATTTTCAACTATAATACGTCGATAATGCGAACAATGCTTGATATTTTTTCATTAAAACTGTTAACGCCGGGAGGAAGCGCTGCGTAATCTCGATATTGCGAACTGAAAATTTTCGTCTCGTGTTTGTCCCGACTTAAAGTCAACAAAAAAAAAAGAAAAAAAAAATAAAGAAACGAGTATCTTCATGTAAGAGCTGTAAATTGCTAAGAAGAGTAATCCATGTAAGGCTAGAAACGGTATTCAGTACAATTCAATCAAATTTTCCAACATTTTGTTGTACGATAAAACTGTAACTTGTATAAAAAACCAGAAAAAGAATTATATGTGATTTATATAAAAAAATTCAAGTATATTTCCGTAATAACGCTGGCTCTGTTCGCTTCTTTCGTCCGAGATCCTCCTCTCTGTGTAATTAGCGAGCAACGTGACAATTACTGTCGTACCGTGTATCAATTTTTTTATTATTTCCGTGTGTAGCACACTGCGCTTCTTTGTCGCGCGTCATTTTTGTACATAGATATCACCGCAATCACCGTGTATATACATAAGCCAGAGCGCGCGGATTCGTCGCGATCGTAAACGTCGCGTTATGTGAAATTCGCGATTCCAAGCGATCTGCCGCGAAGTAACACAGTTGCAATTACACAATTTTATTCACTTAATAACTTCTTGTGCACGCATTTGCGTCATCTTACACGTCTTACACTCGCGCATGTGGGCGTCGTTGTCAACGTGTTTCTCTCGTAATGGGAGAAAAAGAGAGAGAGAGAGAGAGAGAAAATCGAGACGAATCGCGATACCGAGGCTAGGCGATAAGTCGTAAGGTACCTACGTTATAGATAACGAGTAATTAAGTGATGAAAAAAAAAAAAACAATGATAAAATATACGACTCCACTTATATTCCACACTGGCGAATACGCCTTCATTATGGAAAGTGGCTGGCACCAGAGATGCACCAAACAATAAAGTTGCTACGGAAGAAAAGAAACGGCAGAAAAGATAGAAAGCGATGGTTCTCTTGTCTCTGATTTGGCACACAATCCCGCTCGCCATAAACACGTATCCTTCCAGATCCCATCCCCGGCTTTTTTAGCGTTTAGTTCAATATATAGTGCATCAAACTACTGTATTATTCTTTGAGCAGAAGTGACAGAAAAGAATTTTGTCGTTGATTACTTCGATTGTTTGTTCCACTGATTTGTTCGCTTATAATTTGTTTGAACCTTTTTACTCGCATGGCGATTCTTCTTGCACTTACATTCACAAATTTCGTTTCGATTATATTTTATTATACGACAGAAGAACGGAGAAACATTGCAAACGTAAATTTCCGTAGAGATCATAGACAAATCTCACTACGATATGATATAGATATAAATCGAATTTTTCACGAACAGAAATCCGCCGATATCGAACGCACGATAACGAGTAGTATAGTGTGGTACTTCGTTTTGGCGAAGACGCAGCAAATTTTTTTCGCATTTCGAAGCGCGATATTATTGATTCGTTGATATCCTCAGAATGGACCAAGAAACTGCATCGATTTCTCAGAGGAAGACCTGAACTTCTCCTCTGTGCAACCGCACATTAAAAGTGACTATAAAAGTTAGAAAGTCTTTTCGAAGCGATTGTAGGAACAGATATTATGCGTAAGATGAGGAACGACGAAAACAACGGGCAGTATTTCGATCGCAAATTTAACGCAAAGTACGCTAGAATACGACTCAGTGTTTCATGCGACCCGCTTTAACCACCTATAATAAACATCTTACAATTTAATTGTAAAAAATTGCGAGTACAATAGAAATTATTTAAATCGCGAAAGACACGACTTACTAATTTTTTCATTAAGGAAAAATCCGGACTCTGACTTCGTCGAAGAATGAACTTTCATGTAACAACGTTGGAGAGAAAAGAAAAAATTCGGGGAATCTTTATACAAGGACTGCATAGATTTTAAAAATCGATTATCAAGAGCAAATTTAGCTCCAGAACTCTACACTGAGATTATTTCCTATTTTTCGTCTTTTCAAGACAAGCCGTTACAAATATTGGCAAATATTCCCTCCCGAGAGAGAAAACTGAAATTAAAGACCAACGTTCCCGTGCAGATTTTTAAATGTCTCGTAATTGTAAGGAAAATATTCGGGATGTGAAAAGATTTCAGTGCAGTGTTCACGTTATGATTTAAATAATGTACACTTACGTAGTATTAATCAATCGTGTGTTGGTTCAAGATTTTCCGTTTCAATATTTCTCGAAAGAGTAGGGAACGATCGATGGATCGGTACTCGGTGGTTCTGCGGACTCGAGACGAGACGAAACGAAACATTTTTTGTCGCTTTCCTATCGGTAAAGGGTAGTTGTAGCAGTCAGAGATAAAATCGTAACGACCTGTCGTTAGTAACTAAGAGGCCTTAATATATCGCGTTTTACGATTATTATATACATCGGTACAATTTAAGAGTAGTGCGTCGTACCTAAGTGAATACGTAAGGGAACCGTAATGACATAAGGGTGTTATAGATTGTACATACATACACGTTCGAGTCGAGCATGACTTCGTTCAATTTCTCGCATATTTTGGCAGATCGGATATTGACGGAATTCAAACAAGGTTGACCGCTTATTATCGTCCTGTCGAACTTTAATTAAAACGCAGGAAGATGCGTCGCGCATTTGTGGTATTTTAAGATAATCAATTTTAAGAGAAGTATTGCGAGCGGAAAGATAAATATAGGTCCAGAAGTCTCTCACTCAAGACGGTATTTTGAAGATTAGCATTAGCTTCAAATTTTACTCTTCGTTTTAGAAATTGAATATCACGGGAAGTAATAATGAGTTTACGCAGATAACTTCCAAAGAATGCGCGAGTTTGTCATTCAACATTCTAAAATGCTCGACACTCATCGTGAAAGTTCGTAATTTCGAAAAGGTCGGCGAAAGATATTGGTCGATTGACATCTCCCGGTTAAAACGAACCGAAAGGATGAGAAAGGACGAAGCCTTTATTCGCGCGCAGTTACACGGTACTTAACAAGAAGTCATAAAGCAACATGCGAACGAGGCACATGTGTGTCGCAATTGCATTTTACGAGCCGCGTTTAAAGCCTTGTTGCAAGCAGGGCCATAGCTGAAACAAGATATAGCAATGAAATGAGCAATTTCTTATTGTTTTCCTCGTTATAAAAAGGAACGGCTGAAGAGATGCCTAGGAGAGATATTTTAGCAATTCACCTTAAAGAAAATGTTGTTTTTAATATTTAGGCTAAATTACGATTAATTAAATCCGAACTCTAGTAATTTAATATAGATACGATTTAAATTTATTCGACGCAATTTGAACTGTGCGTTGTAGCGATGATATACTTTTAAGAAAATTAACGAATCTTTGAATCTATAAATTTGTCGTTTAATAATAAGCTTAAAATGAAAGTTATGAATATCACAAGTATTAAACAGAAATCCAACTATACAATTGGCGAAGCACGTCGGTTTATACACGAGAATATATAAAACTGCAATAAAACGGAGGACATTCTGTGGGCCAAGGACTCGTGATGATTCGCGTAGGATACCAATCGTGACGGCTATTGAAAGAGCAATAAAGTAGACGCAACAACTAAGAATATCCTACGAGGAAGGATGAAAGAAAACCAATTTGCATTTCGCATTCTTTCCCGGCACAAAAAAAGGAATGGATGAGGTGGAATGGAACAGGAATATTAATTCGCGTTAAATAAAACGAAGTCAAAAGACGGAAGAAGGATCAAACGGACGTAAAGAAAAGTTTGCGCAAAATTGAACGAAGTCGCCCGATTGTACAGACAACGTATTTCCGGTAGCACGTCTCACAATTTGATGGAATTTACGGGGTGTTAGGTAATAGTCATTTGATGAACGCGCCAATATCTTTTCTGAAAATTCAAATAATTTCTTTTAACAAGATAAAATGTCAATAAAATTGTCGAGATATAAACAGTTTTCGAATTATAGCTGATTAAGAAACAGACCTTGATAAATTGTGCTTCAGACACGTTAATAAACAATAAAACACATCAAGCGTTGCGTTTTAGATGAGCTTTATCTCGACTGCGTCTTGGCAACATTTTGACTGGCGGGCATAATTAAGTGATCGAATATATTTTTTTTCTTAAGTAAAGGTCAGAGTTGAAGTATATTAAGCTGCAACGAAAATAACGTCATTTTTTCTTTTTTATGGTTTGAAAACGTGTTATAAATCACATCTCTGATCATATAAATTTAATCGCGGGACGTGTTTTTGATACATTCAATAAAATTGTTAGAAATTACAATAATATTACTCTTTTTCCAAGTTGATTCCGTTAGTTAAAAATTCGAAAAACAGCGAAATTTAACGTTTCAATATTTATTAGTACTAGTTTGAAGCGCAAAACATCAATCAGCGAGTTTCATAAACGGTTGCAATTCGAAAATTGGTCGCGCATCCCAATATCTATATTAAGAAAAGAATATCATTTAAATTTTCAGCGAAGACTATCGATCTGCGCTTAACAGTTTGGTATTTTATATTACCGTGCACTCCGTTAAACGAATGAGAACGAGCCCGGCCGACTGTACAGACATTCAACGATCCTTCGGAGAACTTCGAGGGGATATTCGCGTACCTTGAAAGTAGCCCGAAGCCTTTTCAACGTTTTAGCGTTTAAGCGACGACAACAAACACAGCGAAGCTGTCGATGTACATAGGTAGACTAGAACATGTAGAGACACTCGGGCCGCTCTTTGGCTCTCGAAGGACACGTTTTCGAGAGCTCTCGAGAGCTCTCCTCGCGGCGCGTAAAGCGGGATAATCCTCGTGCTCGTAGCGATCAAGCGGACGACACGAATTCTGCGCTGGGTTGGGAGCCCCTCGTGCAATTTCGCCTCGATCTTCCAACCCCGGAATTGACGATCGACCCTCGATCTCGCGGAGTAACAAAGCAACAAAGCAAGGATCGGTCGATGGTGAGGACGCGCCGAGGAGCGATCGATGAATCTGATTTGTCGGCAACGGCTTTTCGCGACGCGTTCTATTTTTCGCGCGGACGATTTTCGCATAGAGTAGCGACACGGTGTATTTTCCGTGTGATCGACGAAATCGAGTCGATCGAGCCTTCGTCTTTAACGC